GGGGATGGCAAAGCAAATTTAAAGGATAATTTTCCAAACTCAGTCCCATATAGGATAATTTCAAGATTAAACGGAAGTTATTTTCTACAAATATGGTAGTTATAATCTGCTTAGACTTATCTTTTTCCCTGTTGAGGAGACTTTCATTTCGTATGAAAGTGTATGAAGAAGAGATTCGAAGCTCAATCTCACGGCTGAAATCAGTTGAACTGCAGCCGTTTGGATTTTATACGTCATTCAGGTTGACGCAGTCCACGAAACCTGCGTCGTTGCGGGTGAAAACAGACTGAGTTTTCGCCCATCATATGATGGAAATCATCCTCTTAATTAATCTTCGTATTATCTTTTTTTTAGTATTCACATAATAATTATGAATTTTAGAACCTTGACCCGATTCGTTTAGGTGCAGACAAATGCCAGTTAAAATTGGTTACTCTTTGGACCGATCAGTCCTTGTATTCAGTTACTATAAAAAAGGTTGCATACGTAGCCTGATCCAAGAATGGAGGTTTATATTGACCGGCCATGTGACGCGACTGTTTTTATGCAGACTTCTTCAACCAATCGCGAGGTGAGTGTCTCAGATATAGATCAGGACTTCTTGGTAAGAGTTTAACAAACGATCTAGAGCTGAGGCTGGCTATTGTGCAGACGGAAATTATTTTTACAAATCAGTTCAAATGACGCTTATTATTAATTGGGACTGAATTTCGTAAATTTTTAGCTTAAATAAAATCTTCTCTTCGTACATATTTCGTCACACTTTTAAAACTTTCTACAACTTGTGATGTTGCCTTATCCTCCTGTCATTCAGTTCTGTTTTGGTGGCTTCTGGAAACAGTCCCTTTAGTAGTACGACCAAAGCCGTCTTAGGTACAAAAAATGAGCTTACTTTCGGGACAATTCCTGCGCCAGATAAGTTGGCCCATATTTCAACTATTTTAGCACATAGGTCCTTAACATTCCCCGTAAACATGGCTCATCCCTTGAAGTTTATCGCTTCAAGGTTGGCTTACGCCTCTGCTGCTCGTGACTACAGAATTGAGTTACATACTTCAAGCTTTGTAGCTGATGGAAATTGAAGCCGATCATGTACATAAGGGAAGAGCATTATTTTTTATGTATTTTTTGGTTTTCACTCCTATTTTAATGGAAGAATGATAAGGCTTTTCATGAGTTCTGAAATGCTGTCTCGGATTTGGCCAGTCATCTGTATTGCCTTCAGG